CGCGGGCGGGGCAGGCGGGCGGGTTCGCACGCCAGGGCTCCAGCGAGTCGCGTCGAACGGGTCGGCGGCAGCCAGGGCCGCCGCCGCCGAGTTGAGCTGGAAGCACCGCAGAGCGCCGCAGCCTGGGCGTAATCACTCAACTGATCACTTATCGGAAACATTTCTCCGCATCTCTCTCGGTGCTCTTGCTCTCTCTCTCGAATATATATATATATAAAAGAGCGTATGACCATTACGTGGGCCATATATATGACGTATATATATATATATATATATATATGTATGAAATAGTGGCTTATTTTGAACGTATTGCATTTACAAAGAGGACATTGGGTGGGCTAATGTTGTCCATTAGATGTAATTGTTCCGATGTGAATATTAGGAATTAGAAGTGCTCGACGTCGAAAAAAACCAATAAATATCGGACCTTGGAGTTTCCTAGGATAAAGTAAACTGGGATTTGGGACGTGAAAATTTACAGAATATCATTTTTTAATTTATTTTGGAAGCGTCACCCGACGAGATTGAAGAAAGATGGACAACCAGTGGTGACAGAATTTTAGTGAAGACGTTAACATTATTTTAAGGTCTAGAAAGAGAACCAGAAAATTGTTGGTTGTTGACGGGATTCTTCGGGAAGGTTCTCCACTTTGTCAACGCGCTATATGAGGATATATTTTCATAAACTGTAAGCGCCACGGAAAAAATCGCGTAAGATAAACTAATAATGTTTTGCTTAGAAATTATTGGACAATATTATTTTTTGAAGAAAAGGTATTCTGTAAATAATAAAATTCTTTATAATTTCATGGCATGCCGATAGTAGTTTCTTAAAACAATGTTGTAGATATAATTATGAAATTGCAGCAATAAATGTTGCAATTGGGTTATTGCAAATGAAGGCTGATTTATATGAAGAGACTTTGCAGATCACCAATCTTGTGTTCTTCTTAACATCTGTTTCAGTAATTACCTAATCCTTACTGGATGGGACGTCTGCCCACGTAAGTAATATTTTTACAGAATAACGTGGAGGAAAGACACTAATAAATAAGTATTGTTTCATGGTTATATATATTAAAATCGTCTCACATTGGTTTGCACAATGTGGAGCAAATGGTAAAGTTAAATATGGTGATTTTAAAATCGTTTCAATATATACTTTTTGTTAGTACAAATATATCGTCAAACATTTTCTAAATGGTTTTAATAGTGACTCTTTATATTAATGAGTTACAATTATCCAGAAATAAATAACACATTTTCAAACACAAATACTATTAAATTTTGCATATTGTTCTGAAAATTACTTAGAAAAAATTGCATCTTCAAATCATGAATACTCCTACATTCTCGTAGGAGTATTCACGCACTTGGAATACATTTTATTATAATTGCATAGTAGAAAAGGTGCAACACATGTGTTTAAAGACTATTATATAGAGAATTTCGTATTTTTCAAGACCCCAATTAAGTTGAGGCCAGGTCCTGCATTGCAGCTGGCTCTGCAGTGACTCTGACAGCGAGGTCCTACGGTTCGAATCCCGACGGTGGCGGATATTCAGAATTAGTTACGTAGCCAAGTGGAAATCAACCTCCCTCTGAAGAAGAATTCTAGTGGGCCGGATCGATAGTTTTCCGTGGATTGACCGATTAGTTGCAGGGAAATGCCAGAGAAGTACCCAAACAAACGAGCCCCTGACCGTGCGCCATGTTTCCTTCCTCTTCATCGTCCTATTATCTCTCCTTACACACACACACACACACATACTTACGTCCTTTACGCTTCTACACATGTTGGGAGACATTTCAGTGGCTTAGAGCGTGTTCGGGATGGTGTGTTACATTGCTGAGGGGAGGATATTTGGAGGGAGACATTTTCTCCAAGCCGACATGCAGCCGACTACCACCTCCCAGTCTGAGGACATTAACAATATCTGCAATAATAACCTTAGCTGTTGATGCGCTCGAAAACGTGAATCAATCAATGAAGCAATCAATCAATCAAAGCATCCAAGACAATCACTTGGATAGCGCATAATTCTAAATTCAAACAGGAAGGATGAGGAATGCATCCAATATTGCAAAAGAAAGTTTTTCTTTTGTAATCCGATAAGCGCATATTTCCAGTCAAGGACAAGCAATCTCGAGTGCACTGGTGACGTAAGGTACCATTGAGAAACAAGACGAAAATAGGGCTCTGCGTTGGTTTTAAGCTATCAAGCGGCCCAATAAAAGAATAAAATCGAGAAATGTCATGACTGGCAGTTCACTCGCGTAAGTCTTCTTGAGAGTTTGGATAACATAGAGGGTGAGGCCAACATCACTCACGTATTCTTCAGATAGGACGTGATTTTACGCTATCAAAGGCGATTTTTAGATAATAAGCATTCAAGGCAATCATATCAAGAAATTTCATAACTTGCAGGTCGCTCTCGTATAACTTTGTGAGACTTTCGTAAACTTACTGCGCGGGCAGACATAACTCAAGTGAAGTTTATCTTTCAAGTGGTTTTAAGCATTTGTGCACTTACAGCCGAATCTGATCTAAAAGTGATCTTATACGATAATAAAATAAAGAAAAGTTGACCCGTACGTCTTCATCTATGAAGAAGAGTATAGAGAGGCCCAGATAGTGTGACCGTCCTCCATTGGAGAGAACAGTCCTCCATTGACATCAGTTGTCCTCTCGTCCTCCTTTCAGTAAAGTTTTGACACTTGTCGTCATTTATTTTATTACATGACTAACATCTGCTACGTTGTATTGTTTATTGTTTAATTTAGAATGAATTTAGAAAACATGAATACTCTTTTCCTGAACGCTGACACACGCACGCAAGATAGTGTCTCCGTCTAGTAACTAAAATAGAAAAGAGACGCTCAGACCATCTCGATCCACATTTTGTGAACGAATCTTTTCTCTTGAATCGCAGATGGAGAGAAGAAAGAAAGGAGGAGCTGATGTTAATATAAATTCAATATTGATAAAAATAATATAGTTGATGTGTTTGTTTACTTTTTACATGAACATTTTTGCCAACCCAATGTCCAGAAAACGTGACTTCTAGAGCTTCTGAGCGCGGCATCGTCGCCTCTGGCAGTCAAATGGCAGATTTTAGATATCGCGAGCTAATTATTTAAATACGGTGTTTGAGTCGGCTTTTTATTAGTAAGTCGAGATCGCACTTAGTTGGGTGTTGTCCTCTGTCTATAATGGTTTTAAAACGTTTTTGTTTTGTGGAGGTACACTTTGTTGTAATGAGATGTTCATTTTACTCCAAAAAATAGTTGGATTTTTCGCGATAACCAAGTTGTGTGCGGTAGTGTACTAAGGAAAATGGGGGGAGACAGAATAAACACTTTTTAAAATCCCTTCTGTTTCCGAAATCAGGAAAGTGAAATTGCAGTACACAAAGAATACAAAATTGGATAAGCGATAACGCTTTGAAGCAAAAATATTAAATCGTTATTTAAAGTCAATAGTTTCCGCTTAACGATAATCATAATGCTCACTTCAAAAGTGTAAACATCTAAACATTTTTCTGTCCTTTTTAGCAGCTTCACCTGCAAACATATGAAGACATTACGCATTTTTGCAAGAATATAAACAACGCACTAGAAAGGACATAGCTCTCACAATAAATAAGTTGCCATTTAAATGCATTTCCTGAACGTATTATAGAAACACAGCATCATAACATGTACGAGCCGCTAAATTTTGTGCATCTTCAAGACTTTATTTGTGTAAAAGTGAAGCCATCTTCTAGACTATATTTGTGTGAAAGCAATATGATCTACAATTCTTTATTTGTGTAAAAGCTAAGCTCAAATATGACGTACCACACCAAATCAACTATTTATTTCTACCACCAAGGTTATCAAGCCATGTGCTTACTGTAAGAAATGACATCAAATGTTCATTAAAACTTTGTAAGCAAAATATATTGAAAACTCGTTTGATAAAAAATGCTAACACTGAAATCAAAAAGGATATCACAAGAAATATATTTAATGCGTGACTTGAAAAATAAATTCAACCATTAAAATTTGGATTCAGGGCAGGAAACTGCAAACATTTTAATCAATGGTGCTAAAAATATTTTACTTTATTTTTAAATAACCATATATTTTCTATAATATTGAAAAACGATTGTTAAATTCTATAAAAGTTAGCTTAATTTAGTATTCCTTGAGTTATTAACGCTGTAACTAACTCTACTTTTTTTATACTCCTATACATAGATTAGCATCTTAGCATCGTCGTTAAGGTCATGATATTTCTAACGATTTTGAAAATGGAAACGTAGTAACTTTATGTATATCTGATAAAAAAGTGCTTCTTTAAATTAAATTTGTGAAGAGGGTGTATCGCCAGAACCTAAACAAACCGAAAGAAAACAAATATTTTAAGCTATTTAGTGGTTGTAAATCTATTATGCTATCATGTGTAAAAATACGCGATAGAGTCGCGTAATAGAACTAATGCTGTAGGAATCACTTCAACCCATACCAAAGCTTGCCACCCAACACTTTCCCGCCGAACGCTGTGACGTCATTCTGGACATCTCTATACCAGAAAATAAAATCGAGAAATGCTATGCAATTCTATGAGGTCTCCCGCGTGTGTCTTGTGACGCTTCCGTGAACGTATCGGGAATAACAAACATTACCTAATAGTCTTAAGATACCAAGGGGCTTGAAGTTACCAAGCAGTTTTTAGCCACTTAGCAATTCTACAAAATAACAATAAAATTACGCAATGTCGTGTCAAGCAGGTCTCTCGCGTACTTCTTACTGGGACTTCCGTGAACTTTCCGGGAGTGATGGTCATAACACACGTGGCTTCGTGTTATTAAATTATTTGAGCTATCAAGTGATTTAAGGTGTCAAGTGGTTGTAAGATATTTAATGGTTTAGTTTGTGGATAGTTTTAAACTATTAAGATGTTCCAAGGACGGAATGGTTTTAAGCTATCAAGTGGTTGTTAGTTATTAAGTGGTTGTAAGATACGAAGTGGTTGTGAAGATATTAAGTGATTTTAAGCTATGAAGGGGTTTTAAGCTATCAAGTGATTCTAACCTATCACGTGGTTTTATGCATTCAAATTATTTACGCTATCAAGTGATTTAATAGATCAAGTGGTTTCAATGTATCTAGTGAGTGTAAATCTATTAAGTGGTTGTAAGCTAACAAGCGTATAATTTATCAAGTGGTTTTAAGCAATCTAGTAGGTGTAAATCTACTAAGTGGGTTTAAGTTAACAAGTGGTTTTCAGCTATCAAGTAATTTTAAGATACGAAGTGGGTTTAAGCTATCGAGTGGTATTAAAGTATCGAGTGGTTTCACGCGTTCAAGCGCGTGTGCAAGAGAATCAACGACTTGCTTAAGTCGCTCGCGCGCGTCTTCGCGAGACTTTGCAGGACTTACCGGGCGTGGCGCACGTCGCCCACGCGGCGAGCAGCAGGAGCGGTAGCCTCGCCCAGTGCCACCGCATGGCGCGCCACGGCCACCTGGGCTCGCGACTGCGCAGCAGTCCGGGTGCGCAGCGCTGCCTCGTGGCAGTGATTCACGCCAGGCGCTGCGTGTTAGCACCGATCCCGCGGCACGTCGCAACCTCGTAACAATGAGACCAACGACTATTATGAAACGCAGCTTCATTCACACCTACGTATCATGATCTATTGAGCATATGATGGGATGGCCCCTTGTGTTGCTTCTGGATGTAAATGTAGTTTCACTACGCGCACGTTTTGTTGAACTCTCCTTTTCATTGTACTGGTTGGAGTAGAGGTAAGGGCGAGTTACTATTTTGTTAGCAATGCAATTCGTTTATCGATGCACATACGTTTTCTATAACTCGGAAACGAAAATGTCTAGTTTTTCAAATGCCGCTAATCTCACACTTCTTTTAAACTCTATTTCGAATTACTTTTTCCTCATATTTCAACTATTTATAGTTAAAATGACGGGATGGGATTCTGGAACTCAATAAAACGTGCGCAGATGATCTTCTCCTTCTTACGTCACATACAGGATTTACGTTTTTTTTGACTAAATAAATCTAAATCTAAATCTGATATAAGGAGAGAAGGTTAGAGCTTTAAGAGTGAAGTCGAGAGAGGCATTGGGTATGATCGATTGCTTACTAGTAATTCCGAGTGCGTCAAATGCTAAGGTCATTAGTCCCGAAAGTTTAGTGCTTTTTTTCCTCAGCAAGGGGCGGTGATCTTATCTCGCGGAACGGCGAGTTCCAGCACTTACATTTCGTCGGTTACCGGGAGTTTCCCCAAGCAGGTATCTCCTAACAGCGGGGCACCGCCCCAGCCGGGACAAGCTCTAAGCTCCCGACCAGTCTCCCGGCATTTGTGGTAGTGTAGTACATATAAGTGTAAGTGTATAGTAGGGAAGGGGAAGGAAATATTGCACTCGGTCCGTGTCCCGTGTGGTAGGATGCTGTTCAGACATTAGCCTGGTATTGGTAGGAGAAACCACGGAAAACTACAGATAACAGCAGCAGGTCACTAGAGTTCTCCTCCAGACAGAGACTGAACTAGACCTAGCTGACAAGCTAGTGTCGAAAATCCTGCCACCGTCGGGACTCGAACTTAGAAGCTCCTGGTCAGAGGAACTGCAGTGGTATCAGTATCAAATGCCATCCGCGTGATCCCCGCAGGTCTCTCTTTATTCAGCTCGGAATATTATCATTGCCTTGCCTATTATTTGTCAACGCTGACGTACTTAACGGTGGGAACATATTTACATGCATCACTGATATTTATGATTACAACACACGTCGTAAAAATCACATTCATCAAGTGTCAGTATCAACAGCTCACTACCAGATATCCACATACATTACTTTACAACACATTGCCAGATGACATTAAACATTTGAAGTCGGTACACAAATGTAAGTTAAAAGTAAAATATTTTCTGCAGCAAAATTATTTCTATACTATTAGAGACTATTCTGATCATCAAATTTTTTTTTAAAAAGACAGTGGTATATAAGGAATTAGTATACATTTGTATTGCATTTCGTTACCGACGCAAATAAGTTTTCTATAACTGGGGAACAAAAATCTCTACTTTTTTCAAATGTTTCTAATCTGGCGCTTTTTAAATTTTAATTTTATTTTTTTTTTATTTTTCGTGAGAAAGCAAGATGTTATGGTTAAAACGTCAAAACCTTTCGAAAGATTTAACAATTTTCCTGTGGTTGCATAATTATTTTCATCAGTGAAGCAACATCTTTATGAAAAGAAAAAAAGGCAGTTTCCGTAGATTTTGATTTTCTAAAACCGTGTTGTGAGTCTGAAAACGCTTCTTTTTTTCTGAGTTTCCATTCACGTATAAAAAAGCCTCTCTAATATTTTTGAGTGGGTTCCCCGCTGGTGGAAGATATCTGGTTGGAGAAAACCCCACAAGTTAACGTGTATCGGCGCCGAATCTTACCATTGAAGGGAGAAAAACTGTCACTTCTCCTGAAAATATGTACTACACTAACGGGAATAATGATGATTAGCAGTTGACGCGCCCTAACATGCCCGCCCGAACCCGCCCCCACAACACAAAATTATCAGTCTTTTGACATATGTAGATTTTTGTCTTCTGGTGTAGATTTTCGCCATTCTGGGGTTTTCCTCTGCTGTACCATACAGTCTATCGTACCTTTAACGCGGTGGTGAAAAGATATTTTGGAGTGAATGTGTGATTTCCCGAACTTGAAAGTACTAGATGGAAAGTAGATGTTTGTTTTTGCAACCTACGAGATAATGTTACAATAAGATCTCATGAAAAGAAATTAAAAGAAGGAACAGATGATTCTAGGGAATGTAGGGACGAGAAGTTGGAAGAGGAAAGAGACCCCGGAGAAGAAGACAAGGAGAAGAGAGAAAGGTCCGACCTCTTCAGCAGCTTATAAAACATGCATGTTCCTGGAACGATTCCCTCTTTCCCCTTATTTCCCCAAGGAGGAAACTTCCTTTTTATACTCGCAACGAGCGATGCGTTCTTTGTGTAAAATGCAAAACTTTGCCTCCTCTTTCAATGGGGATTATTTACTCCCATGATTCACACTAACTGCGGTTCGGGATGAAAGGTTTGGCGGTGTACTCTACACGAAAAACACACATTAAAATTGTCTTGTATGTTTGGACTTCTGAGATAAAAAAAATGTTGGCACCAATTGGCTATCAGTGACTATAAATTCTGAGTCATACAATATTATATGAAATAATCGTTATTGAACCTACTGATACCCTGCAAGAAATGAAGAAAATTGTTAAAAACAAGCAATGGTTATAAAAATAAATTAGTTTCGTATCACATGGCTTAATATGTTGTAATATAATTCCTATTTTGTTATGGTATCAAAATTTATTTAATGTGCCACATAGAGTGTATTAAATGAACAAAACAAACATTAGAATTGAGAGAAGAAAAATAGTATTTTTCTCATTGTTTCGCCTTTGGAATAGAAGTCTTTATTAACAAATTACCGTAAAGTACTTGTGTCCAGACAATTTTCGTTCAATCAAAACTGCTACTCGTAATCCATAAAAGATCTAAATGTAACAAATTAAGTAAAAAAAAAATTATACACGTCTCTCCGAGAACATTTCTAAAACCAGCATATTTTGTTCAGTTCTTCATGCAGTTTTCTACATGAAGCGTTACACGTCTGTTTGTTTTAAAGTTTACAGCAATGTCAAGGTCCCCTTATCTCTCGCACTGTAATGCTCTGAGAGAGCATTAACAGATAAGGAGTCTCCTTTCAGCATTAGCAGATAGGAAAACTTATCTCCCTGCTTTCCTCTCCCTCTTTCTTTCTCTCCCGCTTTCTCTCTTTCTCTTTCTTTGTCTCTCTTTCGCGTGTACATCGACATCGACAAAGTGAAGTTCTTGAATCCATTGCAGTTATGCAATCCATTATTTATTTCGTTACTCGTAGCAACTTGAAAAAATGGATATTTTCCCTCTCTTTCGATGAACCCATTAATGCATATTACTTCAGAAATGCGACAGTCAACTTAAAAGGTTTTTTTTCTTCTTAAATATCTCTACTGCGAATTGTATTTCTTCAACACACAGATACATCTTAAAAGAAACATATAATCAAGTTTTGGCATTCCTAAAAGCAATGTGTTGAAGCCGTTTGTGAAAAAAAGTAGCAAAAAACATTGTTTGAGCGTTTTGTGAACGGGAAATAGTACGCAGCTAAGGTATAACTTTTTTGATTAATCTACTAAACAACAATTCTCATTTAACCAGCAGTTGGAGCGTACTGGTAGAATATACTTTATCATCATAATTAATAACAATGGATTAGCACTTAAAGTTGCAAAAACATGCAACCAGAGAACCCCATGAGGGACTCTCCGTGCACAGACGCGATAACAATGGACGATACAAATGGATGACATATGAGCACAAAATTATTGGGCGTTTAATTAATTAAATGGGCGTTAATGAGTTAATATGATCATGCGGTTTCTTACCGGAATCCTGGAAGATCCATTTTAGGGGCCAGATTGAGTGTAATATTGAGAGGGAGCTTTATTTAAAATAGTGAAGTTATCTTTCACACAGTAAGCAAATTATTCGTTCATTAAACACTCAAATAAAAGAGTTATTATTTCTATTAACAATAGTGTAAAGAGTATATAAAGAAGGGAATAGGAACGAGGAAGGAATGATCGCGCGCGTATTTTGACTCGTTCGTTAGGGAGCTACTCAAGCATTCGCCTAAATTTATCAACAAAAACTAGAAAAACGACTATCCGAGCAGCCGGCTGTTAGAATTATCCTCCAGACAGTGTCTGAATTCCACCTAGGTACGTAATGAGTGGCGAGAATTCGTCGCCGCCGAGACTCGATCCCTAGTACCCCTCAGTTAGATTTGCTGTAGAGACAAATGTACTACTAGAAGCCAGTCATTTTACTAGTTTTTTTTTCGATAAATACTATGCGAATGCTTGAGTAGTACGCAAACGAACGAATCACAATACGCGCGCCATAATTCCTTCCTCGTTCTTATTCCCCCCTTTATATACTCCATATACTATTGTTAATAGAAATAATGACTTTTTATTTGAGTGTCTTTGATGAATGAGTCACATGCTTACTGAGTGAAAAATAGCCTTACTATTCTAAATACATCTCCATCTCATAATTACACTCAATCTGGCCCTTACAATGAATCTTCCACGAGCTCTGAGCCAACTGAGTCGGTGGAATTTCTCGAGATGTTGACCTGGGAGAGGAGGCTCAGAGTGTTAACTGATGTCGCTGTAGTGCCCCTTATCGCGAGTTTCTGGGGATCGAGTCCCGACAGTGTCAGGATTTTCGACACTAGCTCGTCAGCCAGGTCGAATTCAGTCACAGTCTCGAGATGAATTCTAGCGGTCGGCTGCTCTGATCGGTAGTTTTCCGTGTTTTCTCTGATCCCCAGGCGAATGGCGGAGAAGTTCCCTAACAAACGAGCCACGAATCGCGCGCGATCATTCCTTCCTCTTCCTCGTCCTATTCTCAACCTTTACACATACACACACTTATATACATACACTATGACCATGTCACGCGCGCAGTATTATAAGTACCCTACCCCTACAAAATATTAAATATAAAAAAAAGTAATCCGGATCCCGAACATATTAGGCGACTAAAAAAAGTGAGAAAACGAACAATATAAGAAAATTGGGAACAAATTATCAGGATAACTTTCGCATCTTGGTAAAAGTGATGTTAGAGGCAAAGAAAATATTCTAAATTCGTTTTGACAAATTAAGGACAAGAGCTGGGGGAATTTTACAAGTACGTAAAATGGCTGGGGAAACAGAGAAATTACATCTGTATTCAAAACAGATGGATAGGAGAAATTACATCTGTATTCATAACAGGGTATTGGAGATCCATTTGCATTGCCATGGAGAATGCGAAATAATTAATTTTTATTACTTGTCCGTGTTTACGCCTTCGAGGAATGATTCTGTTGCTCAATGCTGCTCTGAAAATCAAGCTACGGGTAAATCTTTCTTCAACAAACATTATTTTGCTACGAAAAGAAATAGTGGTACAGGCTAAAAAGATATCCGAGAGACCTGATGAAATTTGCTGAGGAATTCTGCGATTGAGAGGGGTAGTCATGGTTCCACGAAGAAAATATTAGAACATCAAACTTATCTTATGCGGCTGCAGAGGGCCAATGGCCAAGTTAGAATTTGAAAAAACATCGACTATTTACATAAACTGTCGACTATTTACAGCTTGTATGAAATAAGAAAAACCTCCTAATTGTACTCCAGCAATGCGTTAGATCGAGCTATTCTTGCGACAGTCAGCTAGCTACTTTTTGGCAAGACATTACCAATTCGCTCGTCGAAGGAGAACAAATTGGTGCAATCTTTCTAGAAATGTCTATAGCTTTCGATTTAGTTCATCACAACAGAAGTTTTAATAAAATTATCGAATCGGAAGTAGACCCACGAGTAGTCATATGGATTAAGGAATTTTTCCATGGTCTGACACACCGAGATCCAGTTGATGACTTTCTATCCGACAAGGTTTATATGACTTCCGACGTCCCTCAGGGAAGCATAATAGAGCCGCTATAAAAATAGTCTCAAGAAAACGGAATGAAAATAAATTCAGATAAAAGCAAAACTATTACTTTTACGAAGGCTCAAACACAGGAAACGCTCCAATACACAAGGGGTAAAAATAAAGTTCCTGAGGTACGTAGTTTGCAAATATCTGGACAAATTAATTTGCTAATGGTCTTCCCAGAAGCATGCAAGTTATGGGCTGGAGAGTTTTCAAAAACGGAAGTGTAGAGTGCAGTGATGTGCAATGATGTACAATGAAGTGAAATGACGTTTTCTGAATAAGGAAAGGCCACAAAAGTACGGGGAAAGTGCGGTGCGTATACTTTCCGCTAGTTTATAAATTACTGGGTTCTGAAAGGACATGTGCAGTGAAAAGTGATGTAAGGGAAACGGTGTATGTATGGGCACATTTTATCAGTTTTTCTTATTCTCCTATTTGCCTTTCAATTTAGTTATTTTGCTCGTTATTATAAGTTTGTTTATTTTTATTATTTGTATGTGTTGTGTCTTTAATTTTTGTATCTGTACGTTTTTTCTTAAGCCCGGTCTTCTCTTTTTGCAGTAATAAATGGTAATAGTAATAATAATAGTATTAATAATAATAATAATAATAATAATAATAATTACAATTAATGATGTAATAATAATAATAAAAACTGGCCACGGACGCGCGCGACCTTTCATTCATTTTCGTTCCCCACCTCTCCCTTATAGACACTCTCAAACACACTCTCATACGTATATACACTACCGCACATGTCGATAGGCCAGTTGGGAGCTTAAAACTGGTCCCGGCTGCAGTGGTGACTCGCTGGTGGGAGATACTCAGAGAGGGAAACCCTGGAAGCGAACGTGTAGGTTTTCGCCTGATCTCATGTTTCAGTTGAGGAGAAACACCGCCCCTCTCCGGATAAAACACACACTACACTCACAGGAATACTAATTTTAGCTGTTAACGCTCCCCGACACCCAAAACTATCGTCATTGGTGCTGAAAGCTCTCTTTTTGTTGGCTTTCGAAAGTGCTACTTCTCTTTCTACAATGTTGACTCTTAATTACATACAATTATTACGGTTTGCATTTTACGAAATACAAGATTATATACAATTTCCTGAGTTGAACTTTTATTTTATTTCTCGGCGTCCCGTATAAAACTCTATGATTTCCTAAGAAGAGATGGAGAGGAGAGAGTCAGAGGAAGATAAGAAAAGTAGAATGAGAGAAAAGAGAAAGAACATAAAAGCTACCACGTTTTTAAAGTATTTTAATTTCCTTTATGTGTTCGTTTGCGGTTCTTATGCATTCACAATGGCGGAAGATATTCCTGGAAACTCATTAATGACCTGCCATAAAGTGTGCGTTGAACTCGTTTTGTTAAGGGTAAAGTGAAATGGGCCAAATCTCTTCCACAGAAACTGTGTAAAGGAACCGCGTTGAAAAATCTTTCACGCGGTTAATTGGAAAATGTCCTTCCTCATTAGACCGGCAAAGGTGGCTCAGAGCATCAACTCATGCCACTGTAGTGCCTCTGAGAGGTCCTAGGGATCGAATCCCGACCGAGGCAGGGTTTTCGACACATGTTAGATCGAATTCAGCCGCTGCCAGGAGGTCAATTCTAGCGACCGGCTGCTCTGATCGGTAGCTTTCTGTGGTTTATCCGCTCAACACCAGGCGAATGCCGGAGAAGCACCCTATTAAACGGGCCACGGATGCGCACGATCTTCCCGTCCTCTTCCTTGTCCTCTCCTCACCGCTTACTTACACACACACTTGCATGCACTGCGTTACCATGACGAGAGACTAACCGGGAGATTAGACCTTGTTCTGGCTCAGGCGGTGCCACGCTGATGGGAGACACCTGGTTGGGGAAAATCTCCACAAGCGTACGTAGATCGGCGCCGGATCTCTTCAGCCAGCGGGGAAAGCTCACCGCCCCGTCCCGCGATAAAAAACATGCACTA